AGTAAATAAAATTCATCAATAATTTGTACAGCTTCTCTTTCAGGTACGAAGTGTAGGTGATAATATCACTTGTTCATACCTATATATATATATCACACATACAAGGTACTCTTTAAATATACTCCAATAGAATTATAATAAAAAATGTGTAATTAAGCCTACAGCAGTGCTTCTCAACCTTTTCCAATATCATTCGCAACTACAAGTTTTCATCCCAGTTTGAAAAAAGATAACAAAGTACTAAATTAAAATGCAAAATTCTTTATTATGAATTAAATTTACATCAAACTACAACTACAATGAATACAGCATAAAAAATAATAAATGTATTTATCAAACTACAACTAGAATAAATAATATAAACTAATGACTTTTTGCTCTTGAAATTGTCGTATACTTGATAATACTCTTTCATCCAGCCAAGGGCAAAACTGCACCACTGATTCAAAACATTACATAAAACAAACTTATAGTCATTCTCCCACACTTTTTGAAATACTTCAGAGTTGAAAGTTATTGAATAAGAAAGTATTGTTTATTTCATTTTATATGTGAACAACTTTAAAACAAAAATTTTAATTTTGGGTTGATTTTAGCATGCTCCAAAGTAAAACATTAATGTTTGTAAATGTCCTAAATTTTTTTCGAAGCACAATATGCCAACTCATAACCTTCTTAGAGGAAAGTCAAAAATATCTGAACATAATATCATTAACCTAAACCTTGTATCAAAAATCAAGACAAGTGTTGCTTCATTGATTTTAGCTAATCACTGTTTCTTAGCCTTTGTTGTAATGATGTGTTGTAACTACTTATATCTCAGCTCTAAGAAGTCATAGGATAGTGATCCAAACATGTAAATGAACACCTTTCTTCTGTTCTTTTCAACTGTACAAGGCAATGTAGTTTTCAGTTCAAAGATATTTGCATAGAGGTTGAAATAAATTGATAAAGGATTAGTTTGGTGATACATTACTTGTAGAAAAGATGTTTGTAAGTAATTTCTGAAACAATTGCAGTTATGATATTTTGAAGCTTGCTTTATTATTTTATTTTCATTTGAATTATGATGTTACAGTGTGATACAAAAGCAATGTTTTTTCGTGGAACAAGATGATGTAAGCTTAGATCAGTTTGCACTCATCCATATCAAGTTTCATTTAGCCCAAAGGTTGTTTGTTAGGCCTTATTTATTTCAGTAAGTGCTTGAATGATCAAATGTTTTCACTTAAAATAAGATGTAAACAAAAAAATGTAGTGTTACGCTAGTCTAATTAAAACTGATGAACAGTCCATGTATTGATTTGAATAACTGGTTTATTAGCCACTTGTTCAAAATATTTCATGTTTACAAACAATACCGGACTCAAGCCTAACTATACAGTTCTAGGCTACCCAATCAACTTGTTTATCCGACACTATAGTCTTGATTGACGGACTAAAGAGACTATACGACTCCCAAAACTTTGCTTATTGTGCTATATATCTAACTCTTAATCAAAACTTATTACATAAGATTCTCCCAAATGACACTAATGCTTACAGCTTACATCAGAATTTTTTTATTTCACCAAATGATACTGAATACATACAGTGCCCTCTAACTAAAATCATTTTCAAAACAGATAATTGTAATATAAATTTTTTCAACAAACAAACAATAACATAATTCAGGTACATGTATAAACAAAACATTATTTTAACTGTTCACAATACTGCCCCTTTCCAAATTTCAACTGACCTGGGAAGATTATGAACACACAAATAAAAAATAATTTACGTTATTTACAATGTCCATTCATTCACTCCCAAGTCATGTGGTGAGGTTCTCTTCACTTCTGAGTAAACTTTCTTTGATGCACTTGTTCTCCACCTCTAGGTAGGGCTGAAATGAGTGCAGATGTTTCTAGGCCATGAGTGGTGCCAGTAATTTCAGATCCCAATTGTTACGATTTTCTTCACTAAACTTGGCAAGCTGTCTACCTAGTGTCTGGTTGAAATGTTCTACCATTCCATCTGACTGGGAGTGTACTGATATTGCCTAGTATTCCTTAAATAGTGCTGACTCAAAGTTTCTCCCCCAGTCAGAGTGAAGTTTCACGTGTAAGCCGAATCTTGTGAAAAAAATAATAAACAATATTTTTGTTACCGTGGCTGCTTCTCGATTTGGGATTGTACAAGTTTCTGGCTACTTTGTAAAATAATCCATAATTACCAGTATATACTTGTTTCCCTTATCAGCTTCTGGCAATGTTCCCATGATATAACTTTCTATTATCTCCACTGGTGCTTCACCTTGGTACAGTTTGGGAGTTGCTCTCCTTGGTTTAGATCGCTCTATTTTTTCAGCACATACTTTACATACTCACCATTTCTTCTAATAACACTCCAGAAGAATCTTTCCCAAAGTTGAACAAGAGTCTTCTTCATTCTGAGACACTCACCTGAGAAGACATAATGTGAATAGTTACTCGCATTGACTTCAGAATGACTGATTGTCAATACTCTTTTGTCCCATTTGAGTTTCCCACCTTCCTCTCAGTATACCACAATACAGATGTTAAGACATCCCACTGAGCTCAGTATGACTTAGTCTAAGGGTTTGTGTGAAATATCTTCTCTCCTGCTGGTCTTTCTGACAACAGCATCATGTGTGTTATAATGTCTCATATAAGGATTTTGCTCTGTTCTTGAAACAACTCAGTATCTGGATCACTATTGTTGGAAAAATTAGCTTGTTGACACTTTTGAAGTTGTTCTTTCTTCTCACAATGCTTGCATTCTTCTAGATAAGGTCATTGACTGAGATTGCCTATATTACCTTGGACACTTTCTGCATGGTATTCAATTTAGTAATGGTACTGGTTCAGCTTTCCAATCCATCTGGATAATTGTCCCTCGGATCTTTTAAGACTACAAAACCAACTTAAAGCAGCATGATTTATCTGAAATAATGGCAGCAATTATGTAACACACTCATCACAGCCAACAGTTTTTTCCTAGTAATTACATTCAGGCTTACTCAATGTTCTGCTGTAATATGTTATCAATTTCTCTCTTGTCATTGTTCTTTCAATGATAGCACAGCTCCTACTACATAATTACTGGCATCTGTATCCAATATGAAAGGCTGGTCTGAATCTTGGAATGCTACAATAAGTCTTGAAATCAGGGCCTTTTTAAGCTATTGGAAAGCTTCCTCACAAGCTTTATTCTGAATTATTTCTTAGACTGTTTGTGAATCCTGGAACATACCTTCAGTACTAAATACACAAGCAAACAAAACTTCTTAGTTTATGCACATTGTCAGGTTATGTCCAACTGTCAGTTGAAGCTGTCTTTTTAGAATCTTCCACATAACATCTTCACTGACAATATGTTCAAAGTATTTTGCCTCCATCTGAAATAATTAGCAATTCTAGGGATTTAATTTGAGATGACCATTATGAAACCATTGGAAGACTTCCTGCAATCTTTTTACTTCACTTTGGAAGGTCTTTCCAAGACAATGATATCAAGATACACCAGTGTAGTTTGTTTTTGTAGACTATCCAATAAGAGTTCCATGAGTTGTTCAAATGTTGCCGGAGCATTACTGAGGCCAAAGGCATCACTTTGAACTGTCACAATCCTTCACTGGAAAATGCTGTTTTCTAATTCTCTTCATTTGTCCTCTTTACTTAATGGTTGCCGATCTAAGATAAAAAATATAAAAAAACATCGCACCAACCAAAGAATCCAAAGTGTCATCAATCCTTGGAAAAGAGTATGAATTCTTCACCATAATCCCATTAGGATCACACTAATCAATACAACACTGGGTGAATCTATCTCTTTTTTTTCTGACTAGTACAACATATGAAGACCATGGATTTTGTGACTTCTTGATAAGTTCTTGATTTTTGATGTCCTGGACAATCTTTCAGCTTTTTTTCTTTTTTTGCCAAGAGAAGTCATCTTGGTGGCTGCTTAGGAGGGTGTTTGTTAACAGTATCAATATGATGTTCTGTAATGTAGGTACTACAAAGATCGTTTGGTACTCTGATGAAAATAAATGCACTGGTTCTAAGTAGATGTTTCTCTTTTTGCTGCTCCATTGATGACAGAAACATACAGCTATGCTCATACAAGTTCTGAAGATGCACTGGGAGGTCTATAATTAATGTTATAGTCTAGGTTGATGGACACTTCTGTTCTTCTAGTGAGGGGTCTGTAATCTGTACCAGTTCACACTGTCCAATTCCTTGCCCATGCTTCAACTTCTGAGCACTATTTGAGAAATTTGCTACATCTATAGGAAAACATCATTTGTTGAGTGGCACCATAGTACATTCAACCAATACCTCACCCAGCATTTTTGCATCAGGATGTCTCTCCACAACTGCAAGTCCCATGAATTCAGAACCAGAGATGTCACAATAAAATATCATCTCAGACTCAGGTGGAATGGTCTAAGTTCTCTTTTCTTTTATCTTAGCTTTCAAATTATTGTTCTTGCTTCAACTACCTTAGTGGAAGATTTTCCCCATACATTTCCAGTGTCAACTGTACAAAGAATATCAAAACTGCATCCATTTTTAACAAGAATATGTCTGCAGTATAAATCTTCTACATACCCATACAATCTTGAGCCTTCCCATTAACATTTCAAAGGCCATTCAATGCATTGAGTGTACAGTTACTCCATTCAGTTTCTTTTCACAGTCTGGGAAATACCTCTGATCTAAGAATCCTGATTGTAGCAGTGTCTTACTGGATCCAGTATCTACAGTCACCTAATATATGATTCCATCGACCTCTCCTGCTACTCATATTTTTCTTAAACAGAAGCCTTTTTCTATTCACTTTTAACAGGTGAGGTTTGTCTAACACTGGATAATCTGGACTCTGCAAGATCAACCCTTAATAGCTTAACTGTTGCTGCCCTCTCTATGGAACATCTATCCTCTTTTTTTGACCAACACTCATTTTTGTAATGACCATTTCTCCCCCAGTTATAAATCAATATTTTTCTCACATTTAGCTGTGGTTTCCATTTTTCCTGTTCCAGATGAACGACTTGAGTTTCTTTCCCTCTAGATGACTAAAATCCATCTTTCTCATAATTTTGTTCACCTATCTCCACTTTTCCTATTTTATTTTCCAAATCATATACAAATTTTTTCCATTGTTCCTGGTTTTTAGGTTGTCTTGTTTTAAGATGATTGCTGTTGTCACCACTACCTATCCTGATTTGTTGGCTGTAGCTTATGCTTGATGTCATGCATGCTTCAAATTCTAGCACATGATAAAGCTTCTTGGACAGTCTGGGGTTGAGCTTGTTAAACTAGGATTTTTAATTTCCCATTGTCTAAAGCATCAATGAACTGATCCCTTAACAAACTTCTTTAGTTCCAGCATCAATTGTTGAAGTGAATTCTGGAGTTGTCTTACCTTTATCCTGAACTTGGCTCAGTATGCCTCTCTCTTGGTATATAGCCCCAAACCCCAAATCTGTAATCCTGCTGCAGATGGATTGTCAGGTGACCCAGGACTTCTAAAGCTGTTCCCTTCAGGCTAGTTGCAAGCTAGATCCACTCTTTTCTTTTCTTCTGACCAACTATTACCTCTAGCCTACAACTAGAATTGGATAAAATACACTTAAAAAGGAGCTTTTTATTCAAACTCATGAGTTCCACTCTGATCCCATGGATGGAAAGGATGCACAAAAGGGCTAAGTTCAGGAATGTCCCGTAAGAGATGTTCTTCCTTTTTTGGGTTGATATTAACTGGTTGGAGAATGTTGAAATACTGTATGTTCAGATTGAGTCAATATAGTGTCCTTGGATGTGCCATCTCTCTTATCTTAATTCCAAAATTTTCTTACTTAACTTCTCTGTCTGATCACACATCCAACTGTCCATTCAATTATCTAGCTGAGGTAAGACTTCAGCCTGCTGTTGTACTATGTTCCAACAATGGCTTTTATGTCATGTTGCTTAGCAACAAAAGTACAACCTAATATTGTTGTTAGTCTATATACTAAAAGTATAAAACGAAATGTATAGAAAACAAAACTGAAAAATCATTTGCTGATTTCTTAGTTTAGAGTCTCCATTGATTTATTTTTCATAAAAAACGTTGGTGATATAACAGAAAATAGCCTAATTCAGAAACAATTTAAGTTTAAAATTGAATCAATATTTTTACTTTCATGATAAATTGTATGCACTTGACTCTAGGTTAGGTGATCCCACACTATATCTTTATTTTAGGCTTATGATACCAACACTCACTACACTTATAAGATTTCAAGAAACACTTTTCACTAAAATTATAATGGGCAGACAGTAATCGAACTATTCTATCTGGATAAAAGTATTTTGGTTTTTATGACTCCTATTTTAAGAAATCAAGCATGACGTGACACACATTGGTTTTTATATAGGTTAGATTATTAGAAATAGAGATATGATATAAATATGGAGAACATTTGTTAACAATGTTTAACATAAAAGAAAACATTATACAACTCATTAACAAATAGGGAAGAGAGAATAATCAGATTTCAATAATATGACATTGAACAGTGGAGAGGGACATGATTAAATTTTTAATAACTAAGCACTAGTAGTGGTTGGAGACGGCTTGAATGGGTAACAAAGAAAAACTTT